TCTCTCGCACTTCTCGCTTGTGGAACCCAGTTTCTTGCTTTCAAGTCAAGTTTGATCTTCAAAAATTTAAATGCAATGCCAATCGTTATCTACTGGATTTCTGATTACTGTTTCTTTTGTTCTCGCCCCTTATAACATTTCTCTTTTTATTTGTTCTTTCACACTCAGTAACAGAGACAATGAGGTATTATGGTGGATGTAGTAAGAAAGGTAAGTAAGAATGCGTTGTTTTGGTGGTAGGAATATTGTGGTATGTTGGGTCAGTGTTTGTGACTAGCTAAGTTTAATATTAAGACAGAAGAAGACTCTCCTTTTCTCCATTCCCCATTTTTGGCCTTGTGCCACATTTTTCTGTTATTAATACGGAAATATATATCGCTCTTCGCTATGATATCTACACTTTATGAATTTAAGCGTATTACTAGACTGAGCCGAGACCTCATCAATTTATAGTTGAGCTAGCTAGAGACAACCGTACGTTCTATGCCAACAGTTTCTTCTATCGCACTTCTCGCTTGTGGAACAACGTTCCGACTCCATACTTCTTCCCGGTCATTATTAATGTTTTTGTTTCTATTTCTTCCGCTCCCAGTAACCTCTTGTGTCTTGCATGGGGTGAACCAGCACCTAGCTACCAAAGTTTCACCTAAGAGATCCTCGGGGTAAAAACTGAAGATCCGTTAGATGAAGCCTTGGTAGCTAGGTACTGGCTCACTAGTTTTTATTTTTTTATTTTTATTTTTTGTTTTTCCTTTACGTCGTGTATTGAGCACTTTTACGTTTTACTTAATTTACCTTGTCGGTGTTTTTTCGCTTGACTAGGCATTGCGGGTACAGACTGATTATTTTCTACAAACCCTGGTGGTTTTAATTCTTTTCTTTTTAGATTTTTTCCTGATATCGATTTGTTCAAATATATTTTTATTTGCAAATTGTATTATCCGGATTTTCTTTAGACCGCCTCAGTATAGGTATTATATATATATATATATATATATATATATATATATATATATATATATATATATATATAAAATAAAAAGCTTAAACACTAATATGTTTAAGCCTTTTTATTATATCCTTACTCTGTCCTGGACATTGAGTTCTATCGGGATTCTATCCTCTTGTAATTTTTATTCAAATATATACATGTATGGGTATTTATATATTTTGCATATGTATGTATATTTACCACTAATATTATCTATCTATCTATCTATCTATCTATCTATATATATATATATAATTATTTATTTAAAAATATGATTCCATCGCTACATAAGAGTTCTCATGTTTCAAAACAATAGCCGAAAACTTCAATATAATTATTTGAATTAAATTGAATTAAAGTACCAAGCTCTGTTCCATCTTCAAATAAATAATTATATTTAGGCTCTACTTTTGTATCGTGCACTGTTTTTTAAAATAATAACAAACATACTAAAGAACTTTGGATTATTTGCCTAACGAGTTCTTTCCTATTTTCTCTATATTTTCACACACACACACACACACACACACACACACAGATATATATATATATATATATATATATATATATATATATATTGGAAGATCTTCTATCATCCCAGTGTGGGATATTTAATAACAAATGTGATGGAAGATAACCAAAAAGTAAAAGAATCTAACTGAAACCGGCTTGATTATATAGGCAAAACATATGTTGAATTAAAAGAAAATAAATTAAAACTCTCAGTGTCCCACTGTACTCTGTGCGCATGTGTAGTCGCATCAACCTAAGCTTAAATTTAGTCTTAAAGGATAAAACGTGCCTTACGAAAAAATTGTTCCTGAAAAATAAATATCGTTTTTCCGGATATATATATATATATATATATATATATATATATATATATATATATATATATATATATTATAAAAAGACGTAATCATCCCAAGAATTAAGCAGTAAAAGTTAATGTAATTAATGTCGAAATCACTTCGCTAACAGATCAATAAAATATTTACTTACTAACAACTCTCTGAATCACGCGATATGTATGTTTCAAATTATTAGATGGATTAGATGTTCTGTTACAAGTACTTTCGAAGAAATTCACTCCTTCATCGTCAGGTATTAATATTATTTTCATTTCAGGTAAGTTTCCGAGATGAAAATAAATGTATTGCAGGCCGAAAGATGTTTTTTTAAAAGTCAGATTTTTCTTAACGGTACAAATTTAGAACGTGCAGTGTCGCAACGCTAGAATTGTATTTTGAATATTTCAAGTAAGAAAAATGACTTCTTTATAATATATATATATATATATATATATATATATATATATATATATATATATATATACTTAGTTCATGACATAAAAACTGAATACACTTGTAAAAATAGAATACGTGGATTTAACACATCACAAGAAATATTTAAATAAAATTCTCACTTATAATTTTAAATAACTTAGCGTTGTGTCTTTGCACGTTCCGAGATCTTACACAACCGTCAATAATAGCAGATATTCAAAAAATATCTTTCGGTCGACATACAAGTATTTCGTCTCCAAGTTTTTGATTTTATAAGGAAAAAACAAATGCCTGATGATGAATAGAGGACTATTCGTAAGTACTAGCATTTTAACATCAAATAAACTGAAAACTACAGACATCAAGTTTATCGACGAGGATCAACTCGCACTATGGATTAACAGTACTTTAATGCATATATTATGTTTCTAGCGATGGATGTCGCCAATAATCGCATTAATACTTCTGATTGATTCTATGTGTGATTATTTCTTTATATATATATATATATATATATATATATATATATATATATATATATATATATACATGTGTGTGTGTAGAAAGAGAGACATAGATAGAAAGAGAGAGGGAGAGATGTATACGCATTTCAGGAAAGGAAAAAAATTGTAATATATATTATAATACTAACTTTATTCAGACATCACGAGATTAATAAAAGTTACGTTTGGACTCTACAGTCACAAGAGATTGCCAAAAATGGTGGTCTTTAGCTTAGAGCCACTGATATCAATGGTGTGTTTGACGGCTCCAAGACAACTGAACTTTCGCTTTGTGCCATTCTTTCCCGTGCCATTTTTATTTGTGCCATTATGACCTAAATTCCTCCATTACACGTTGCATTAAGCTTACAGATGATCATTGCTACGTGAATTTCAATAGTGGCCATCCTATCAACCTAAAGTAATCAATTATCTACAGCCAATGTCTACGCATAAAACGTATCTTTTCACAGAAAAGGGATGACGAAGTACACATAGGACAATTATTCAATTACTTTCTTCACGGGAATTACCCACTTAAAACTATGAAAATATCAATTACGAAGGCTTCCAAACAAAATAGGACTACACTTCTAACCTACCTAACAAGAAAAAAAAAAAGAATAATTCCTTAATTACCATAGTTTATTTTATTCTATTTTAATTACAACATTCACAAGCTTTACCATGTCTTTTCAAAATACGCTCAAGATATTGTGTCCATGTTCATAGTTGATTTTACTGAGTGTTTTTTTTTTTAATGAAACGTTATATAAAAACATACATACAACAAACTATTTCTTGTTAACAGTTAATGTATTTCAATATTGAAAATTTCTAAATGTATAGCCGAAAGCGCTCGGATAAAAATAACAATTGGTCAGTTCTTATATAATATATCTTCTGAAAAGAAAAAGAAATATTAAAACACATGAGAAACTGTATAAAAACTTAATCAAACACCTTGTCTGTCGTATTCAATGAAATATATATATATATATATATATATATAGTACGATAATGTAGAGTTTGGTAATCCGTGTGGACAATTCGAAAGCGGATGTGTTCCAGAGAGCTCAATGTAACAACAGAGCAAATATTGATTAAATTATTTAATAAATAGACAACTGAAAGTTTCCATGTCTATAAATTATAGTCATGGAAACTGAACGTTGTATATTTCTTAATTATTTAAGTTATATATATATATATATATATATATATATATATATATATAGATAGATAGATAGATAGATAGATAGATAGATAGATAGATAGAGAGAGAGAGAGAGAGAGATTACCTGAACCTTGCTAGTCTGTATTAAGCTTCGTGATTGTCTTTAGCAAACTGTAGTTCATTAATTTAGAGCTCTAATTTTATGGCCTTTTGCCAGACTAAGCAAGGCTAAATAAATAATCATACCTGCTAACTGTCTCCTATTAAGATTGATGTGTATCATCATTGGAACAAATCATAAACACACACGCCATAATTTGATTTCAACTATCGCCTTTGATTTATAGTCTCACCAGTTCTTACTTTCTGTTTAAGAACTCACTTAGATCCAGGTCGTCAAAAGACAAGAAAAAAAGTAAAAGAAACAGAAGCATGTGCGTAGTAGTGGGGGGTGGGGTGCGATGCTGGAGAGTTGTGGGGGTAGCGAAGTGAAATGGCGTCGGCGACGTCTCCGCTGCATGCTGCATTCGTTTTGCCTTGTAGAACTCTATGTCCGCCATGTCTGATAATTGACTGGAATGTTTGTCTTCGCCCCCGACGTCTTTGAGGTAAGGCTCCATCTTGTCGGTGCCCGTCGAAGACCTCTTGTGCCCGACCTCCATTGCTTTCAGTGGGGGATCGGGTAAATAGGGGAAACTGTAGAGTAAGACCTTAGGAAATTGTTGAAGATATAGACAATAAAGAAAATAAGACTGAGGGAGAGATTTAAACAAAGACGGAAAAAGAGATGAAAGCAAAAAGCCACAGAGATAGAGTGTGTGTGTGTGTGTGTGTGTGTGTGTGTGTGTGTGTGAGAGAGAGAGAGAGAGAGAGAGAGTAGGACTATATAATGATTAGTATGATGATGATTATGATGGTGATGGTGTGAAAAAAGAAGACAAAAAATTTAAAGTGGTTGAGATTAAAAATATACATAGATACTGAACAGATTTAGATAGATAGATAGATAGATAATGAACAGACTTAGCTAGCTAACTAACTAACTAGATAGATAGATAATGAACAAAACAGATAGATAGATAGATAGATAGATAGATAGATAGATAGATAGATGAATGAATAATGAACAGACTTAGCTAGCTAGCTAGCTAACTAACTAACTAACTAGATAGATAGATAATGAACAAAACAGATAGATAGATAGATAGATAGATAGATAGATAGATAGATAGATAGATAATGAATAGACTTGGCTAGCTAACTAGCTAACTAGATAGGTAAATAATGAACAAAACAGATAGATAGATAGATAGATAGATAGATAGATAGATAATGAACAGACTTGGCTAGCTAACTAGCTAACTAGATAGATAGATAGATAGATAGATAGATAGATATACATACAGCCAGACAGATAGCCAGACAGATAGATTTGAGCAGAGTGAAATATGCATAGTGGAACTGGTTAGCAAGCTTTCTTGTTAGAACATTTACAACTGAGTAGCAAGTTCGATATTCACTGGGTGCTTCACATTTTCGGCCTTGTGGTAAATCTAGGCTTCACTTAAAAATCATCAATTACAGCTGGATTGATAGTTATAATGATATAACTAGACTTAGATAGAAAGTTATATATAGACTGAATTGTAAACATAAACATAGGTACCACGAATGATTCACTAAAACTTGCCCCAATGATTCGTCGTCATTTTATTTATGTTATTATTAAGAGGAAAGACCAAAGGAGTTTTTAATTAATATATCACTGTATATAGTGACGAATCATGGGAATTTTGCAGACCTAATTTTGGAGCTAATTTGTCTACAGTAAATAGATATATAGTTTGGTCAACGACGTAGCCAAGGCCAGGAGTACATACGCTAATTTTATATCTCGTGTATGATGCAACTCCCTAAAAATTATCTTCAAAATTAGGTCTTCAAAAGTCGCAGGATACGCGAGTATATACGGTATATTTTTTACATTGTTCGAAATTTTGATTAATTATTTTGTTTTTTACGTCAGCTCGTGGGCCAAAAATTAGTATATTTTAGAAGTCTTCTTTGCGATGAAAAACACATTGATTTGGAAATTCTTGCAAAAATCAAATAATTATTTTATTGGAATTATTCAAATTAGTTTACAATTTTACAAACGTTGTTTTTTTTAGAAAATCTTGTTAAAATATTTTTATTACACATGGTTTACACCCAATTATTTAATTTTATGAAATTTGGAAAAATTAAAGTTTGTAGAACTAATATTCAGCTTAATTAAAATCAGAACTTAGACAATTTAAATCGTCAATTTCTTTTTGTCAAACCTGACCACCAATTATCGAAAATCTGCTCTGAATTGAAAAATAAAAAATGCTATAAAACTAAGACATTATTTAATTAGGAAAAGCTTTTATGAATAAGATAAATTATAGGAATTATTGTCTTAAGAAAAGTTTTTTCGATGTATAATGAATTTTTGCAAGAATTGTTTTCATTTTTTAAAACCTTAATTAGAAAAATTTATAAAGTTTTAAATCTTTTAAAATTATGTCTTATCTGTAGAGGTTCGTTGATATTGTTATTAAGTAAACTATATTTACTAATCATAAACTGAAAAGCTTCATACAACTCATTGTCGCCCAGTATTTTAAAAAGAATATTTAACTTTTTTGCGTGAGTATAAACGTGCCACTTTTTGTAAATACGGACGTCCATACACAACATTATCACATAATAAGAGTATAGTAAATTTAAAACCGAACTTCCTAAAATTAAATAAAACATCATATTACGGAGAATATTCTCCTAAACTTTTAGGTTTAATAAGTAGTTAAAAATTATATAAAAAATATAAAAAGCGCACTCGTGTTATATTCTTCAAGTAAATTTTACAGATATGTCGACCGTAGAAAGAACATTTAATAAACTGCCGCCTTTTATTCAAATAAACGGTGTTCAGTGATATGTTAAACTTAAAGTAAATAATATTTGTTTCAAATCAGTTTAATTAAACTTTAAATCAGCCTATATAATAATATAGGCTGATTTAAAGTTTAATTAAACTGATTTGAAACAATTAAAGTTTAAGAAAGGTATGTTATATTTTCACAATATTTTTTTAATGAAGAGAATTACATTTTGATGAATGGTATTTAAAAATGGCGGTAAAATCAGCAATGCTAAGCAGTTTTAAAATGACAAATCTTTCCACACAAATTACATTCGTTTTGAAATACATATTTTGCTTATTAGAAATATTAAAATTCTTTTATTATTTTGAAATTAAAAATAAAATTAAAGCTTCAAGATCTTTTCGTTTTTTTTAAATTTATTTTAAACTTTAGATATCGTGAATCTATGAAGGTACATAGATAGATAGATAGATAGATAGATAGATAGATAGATAGATAGATATGAAAAGACTGTGATAGACAGATATGAAAAAAAGCTGTGATAGATAGATATGAAAAAAGCTGTGATATATATATATATATATATATATATATATATATATATATATATATAGATAGATAGATAAAAAGTGACAAGATAGCTAGATAGATAGATATGAAAAGACTGAGATAGATAGATAGATAGATAGATGAGATAGATAGATAGATAGATATGAAAAAGCTGTGATAGATAGATAGATAGAAAGATAGATAGATAGATAGATAGATAGATAGATAGATAGATAGATAGATATGAAAAGACTGAGATAGATAGATAGATAGATAGATAGATAGATAGATAGATAGATAGATAGATATGAAAAGACTGTGATAGATATGAAAAATCTCTGATAGATAGATAAGGAATGTCTTAGATAGATAGATAGATAGATAGATAGATAGATAGATAGATAGATTTGAATAGACTGGGATAGATAGATAGATAGATAGATAGATAGATAGATAGATAGATAGATAGATAGATAGATAGATAGATAGTATGTAAAAAGGGCGGTGAAGTGAAAATAAGTAATGAGAAAGATTGTTGTTTAAAAGTTAAACCGAAGGCAGAAGAAGAAAAAACCTCTTTCCTGCGATTTACTTTCAGTAAATAAGTTTACAGACAAGTGTTAATATCAAGGACTGTTAATGCATTTTTGATGGCTGGGATGTTTGCGCCTTTTACAATTGTTCTATGAATTGGAGACATCATAATCAGCAAACAGCTGCAGAAATGGTTTGTTAAGTAAGTGACGTCGAGAAACATGTCGCAGTATTTCAAGAACGAACTGGAATAGCTAAATCTTCAATTCAGGCGATAAAACAGTGTTATACAAAAGCAAAGAAAATGGCGTTTGACAGCGATGTCATATATTTCATCTTATGAGCCAGTAAATGCTGGACAATTTTCTCACCGACGAACACGAGACTTCAAATGAAAGTGTCTGAACTTCCCTGTTAAACTATTTTTAAATATCGACCAATTACTTTAAAATAAAAAAAAAAATAATCATAATGTATAGAAACAACAGTCGTTTTCTCTTGACAATGATAATCGTGATATTAGCTGTTTCTTTATAAAGAAACATTCAAAATTGATTGACCGACCGAGCAGCCAGTGCTAATGTCGGTTGGAATTTATAAAATCTCTCTCTTAGAATTTCTTTTGATTTTCAGGAAAATAATTCTTCTAAAATGCAGTAGGTGTTATCGTTCTTTCAAATATTGATGGCGGTTACCTTCCTAATCTTTTGCTTGAAGTCGTGTGAAATATCAACATCTTGATTATGTCTTTATTTTCTCTTCTCAAGCCCACTAGCTGTTATCACTCTTTCAAATATTGATGGCGGTTTCCTTCATAACCTTTTGTTTGAAGTAATGTGGAATGTCAACATCTTGAACATTATTTTCTTGACCAGTATCTGTCATCAAACTTTCAAATTATTTTCCTCTTTTGTTTGAAGTAATGTGAGTTGTCAAGACCATTATTTTTTCTCTTCTCAAGACCAGTATCTGTCATCAAACTTTCAAATATTGTCATTTCAAACTTTTGTTTGAATATTGATGGCGGTTTCATTATTTTCTCTTCTCAAGACCAGTATCTGTCATCAAACTTTCAAATATTGATGGCGGTTTCCTTCCTAACCTTTTGTTTGAAGTAATGTGGAATGTCAACATCTTGATTATATCATTATTTTCTCTTCTCAAGCCCAGCAGCTGTTATCCTCTTTCAAATATTGATGGGAGTTTCTTTCCTAACCTTTTTTTGAAGTAGTGTAGAACGTTAATATCTATTGATTTTGCAGTTATTTTCTCTTCGGGTTCAATTTTAAATGTTGCTGTTTTTTTCATCCAGTGATGTGGCATTTGATATTTGGTACAGCTCGTTTGTGATTCTGTAGCGGCAGTCCAAATTAGGATGGTCCTCATTAAGACCTACAGGCTAACCTCATTCGATGTCATTGATACAAGAAATCTGTTGAGTAGAGGCGGTTGTTTACATGCTTTTAGACATGTTTGGCGTCATCCATATGAAAGTCAAGATCTGAAGAGGCTATTTGCGAACTTGACCTGAGATTTCGTTTTTGTAGCAGTTTGCAGTGTTGGGCGCAGCACATTCTATGTTCAATTTCATTATCTCCGATAATAAATTTATTATATTAGGTTGGTGCAAAAATAATGACGTAATAATATCGTTCTTTGACCTATTTTTTAACGTCAAAAAACGACATTATTACGTCATTATTTTTGCTTCGGCATTTACTAAATCGTCATCCTGAATTTTTATGAAGGACTCAGTGTAGGTGCCATCCCCGTTTTCATTCCAATTCCAGATTATAATTTTTGCTTTGGAAAGGTTTATCTTGAGTCCTATCTACAAAAATCACATTCTGTCGGAACCATGAGAATTAACGGTGAACTCGTGTTACTCCCGAGTAGATAACGTGACAGTTGACAAAATCGCATCCGAAATGTGTCACTGGATGACGACCGACCGTTGGAAAACAGACGAAGATCGTGACTATATGTAATGAGCCTGATCATAGTTGGTCACAGCGTCCTGTCTTTTGTTGCTGCCAGCATTATTTTCTCTTTGACGTCTACTCTTTGACATTTTTTCTTTTTTGCTTGTGCCATCATCTACTTACATAAGCGTGTTAGGTAGGTTCTTCTTCCCCACCTCTCACTCTCCCTCACTTTCAATTTACTGTATGATTCGAGGATGTGGCTGATCATGGTTGTCCACAGCCTTCTTTCTTTTGCTGCTCTCATATGATATAATCAAGGAATAAATTATATGTGGGAACAAGAAGGCCAGAAAGAAAGAAAAAAAGAGAAAAGAAGAAAGAAAGAAAGAAAGAAAGAAAAAAAAGAAAGAAAAAAGGACAAAATGACGAAAAAAGAAGCACCAGAGAAGTAAAGGAAAAATGACAAGAAAGAAAGAAAGAAAGAAAGAAAGAAAGAAAAAAGAAAGAAAGAAAAAACGGAAAGAGAACAAAAGAAATAAATGAAGCAAAAAAAAAAAAAGAGCGAATGTGTAAAAGAAAGTTTAAAAGGGAAGCAAGAAATTAAACAAAAAGAAAGAAAAAAGAAAGAAAGACAGAAATAAAAAGAAAGAAAAGCGAAGTAAAGGATAAAAGCAAGAATGAATGAAGCAAAGAAAAAAAAAGAAAGAAAGACAGAAAGAAAAAAGACAAAGAAAGAAAAGAGAAATAAAGGATAAAAGCAGGAATGAGTGAAACAAAGAAAGAAAAAAAGAAAGAAAGACAAAAAGAAAAAGAAAAAGACAGAAAAGAGAAGTAAAGGATAAAAGCAAGAATGAGTGACGTAGAAAAAGAATGAAAAAAAAAGAAAACAACGAAAAAGAAAAGAAAGCAGAAAAAAGAAAGAACAAAATAAAGAATATTCGAGAATTAGCCCATATTTGAAATATGTCCAATAATTCGAAAAAGTACAACATTTTTATTATTATTATTTTTTTTTAATGTCGTCTCGAGTAAAAATAAAAAAAAAATAAAAATAAATCAGGTCATGTCACGTGGTGCATTCTTGTAATTTTCTATTTCCAGTTCGGCTTCCAATTCAAAAATCTTCCTTATAATATTTTTAAGAAAACACACAAGGCACTTTAAACAAGCAAACTAGAATTTTCGTAATTTTTTTTTTTAATAAATACTCATGTTACACGTCGTCTCCATTTTGTTTCTTTGTTCGCATACATTTTACAGACACGTGCACGGGTTTAGAGTAAACCCTGTATGTGCCTATCTCAAGCTACCAGTAACTAATTCAGTTGAAAATGCCACTCGTTCATATTCAACCAATGAGCAACACGTTCTTATATAGGATAAGACATTCAGACTCTCATTTTTGTCAATAGATAAATTGTTGTGAATTACAAGATGCATTCCATTTCAAACTTTTTAACGAGAGACATTTATTAATTTCAAAGAAGCACAAAACTCTAATCTCCTTCAAAGTAGGATCCTTTGAATGCACTTCTTGTAGCCGTCCAGGAACTTTGTGAAATCCCCATTGAAGTCATCTAGAACACTTGTGACAGCATCGTCCATCGTCTCACTATCTTCAAAACAACTGCCACTGAGGCTCACCAGCTTGTCTAAGAACTATGGTTGCCAGAGGCCCCCTATATAAAGAACATGTAACGTACTGGATAATTTTATCCTCTGTCCCGGACACCCCAAATGTCACGTATTTAGTTCATTTTCAAATTTCGTAATAATAATATATAATTACAACCTTCTTAATGTGCTTGGCTGTAACTTTATAAGTAATTATACGTTCTTTTCTTAGAGTCTCTGGGTGAAAATAACCCAAATGTAACGAGAAAACTAGAGATGTTACAAGTTTACATAAAACTGATGTGTTTATTTCTCTGTAGTCTGTATTAAATAAATATTTTCAAATGATCTTACTTTTACAGAATTTTTTTCTTAGATTGTATTAAATAATTTTCAAATGGTCTTAATTTTATTTTCCTCATAATCCATTAAAATAATTGTTTTATGTTTTTTAACATATGTCTCTCCTCCTGTATAATATATTGACCTGGGTGTGAAGGAATATATATATATATATATATATATATATATATATATATATATATATATATATATATATATATATATATATCCATATCCAATATATATAATAATATAAAGTATATATAAATTCTACCGTTTATATATATCCAATGCAGTAAGAACATTAATTTAAAAAATAGGGCTCGATACCGATAGTAGAGCGATAATTATCATATAGATAAAAATAGTTTACTTACTACAAAGATGCAACATGGTTTCGGTGCATTTCAATTGCACCTCGACTGGTGAGAACCAAAAATTGTTATGAACAGAGAACTGGAGAGAGAGAGAGAGATGGGGGGAGAGAAATTTTAAGTATGTGCCGTATTGCTAATTTTCTAATCTGGCAACTCTAGGAACAACCAAACTCAGCTGCAAATATATCTGTTGAAGAATACGGCAAAATAATTAACGGTTTCCTTATAAAGAAATGTTCGGAATTGATTGACAGACCGAGCAGCCAGTGCTAATGTTGGTTTGAATTTTAAAAAGAAAATTCTCTTAAAACTTTTTTTTTTTAATGAAAAAACGTTTTTTTTTTCAATTTTACTGCTATCGCTTTTTGTGGTACTGAAGTCCCGATGGATGTCATCCAGTATCTTTATTATGGTGTCCTTTATCTTCTCAATGTCTTCAGAAGAACCAGTGGCAGCAGCAGCAGAAGAAGAAGAAGAAGAAAAAGAAGAATAAGAATGAAAGAAAAAGATAGAGAAGAAGTGAAAGAGGAAAAAGAAAAAAGATGAAAAACAAAGACAAAGATAATGAAGAAGAAAGAAAGAAAAGATAAAGAAGAAGGATAAGAATGAAAGAAGAAGAAGAAGAAGAAGAATTAAAAAAGAAAATGTAGAAGAAGAATGAAAAAGAAAATGTAGAAAAAGAAGAAGTGGAAGAAGAAAGAATGAAAAAGATAAAGATGAAGAAAGAAAATGATAAAGAAGAAGAAGAAGAAGAAGAAGAGGAAACAAAAAGATAAAGAAGAGGAATAATAATCAGAAGAAGTAGAAGAAGAAGAAGAAGAAGAAGAAGATAGAAAAAAGAAAGAAAGAAGAAGTGGAAGAAGAAGATGAAAAAAGAAAGAAAAAGACGAAGAAGAAGAAAAAGAAGAAGAGAAAAAAGAAGATGGTGAAAGAGAAGAAGAAGAAGAAGGAGAAGAAGAAGACAAAGAAGAATAAAAAGAGGAAGAGGAGGAAGAAGAATCTTCTGTGATTGGATGGCAGAACAGAGTTTAAGATAGCAAAACAACAAAATTTACTAAAAGTTCCAAAGCATAGGAAATTAAGGAGAGCCATGATCTCCAATGTCTGAAAGGGATACCAAACATAGAAGAAAAAACATTACAAATGACAATTATTCTATGTCTATTGATTTTACTGGCTTGTTGTTATGTAGCAAGACAAAAAGATATTATTTACGAAGATGCAACCACCAATTGAGCAAATAAATGCATCAACAACGCAAGCTTTACGTAGTGGGTACCAAATGTCATGGCATAACAGACTGTTGAGAATTCCTCTCGCCCGATGAAGTTTAACAAATCTATGTAGCATCGATCTCCCAAGTGAAACCATCTTGCGTATGAATTAATATCTCTACAACATTCTATACAAACTCGCTTGTGGATCGTGTAGGGAAAATATGCTGGCTTGTTACGCACAGCTCTGTCGCCAGGGCTGACAAAATGATTCAGATCCTCACCGTGCTTACATCCACTACAACCAGGGCTAGAGAGACCAGTGTGCTATTTAACCCATAGGTTGGGGAGAGAAGATATGGGTTATATCTAAACAAGTATATTTGCGCGAAAGTGAATAGAATGAACCCAACCGGAATTGGAACTCGTTTCTCCGATTTCATATTTCGAGCCACTATTCACTACATTTTGCTAAATTTATAATGGGAAAATGACCAATAACCGGAACAGAGCGCATATACACATATGTGTACGCGTGTTACTAGCCTCTCTCTCCCACTCTCTCTCTCTCTCTCTCTCTATATATATATATATATATATATATATATATATATATGTTGATTTAGTCAATACTAAACAAAAAATAAGCTAAAACCTGAAGAAGTTTACCCCATTGCTTGTAATAATTGTCACAAAAGATACATAGGTGAAACCTCAAGGAATCAAAATATAAGATTATAATGAACATAAACGGGACATTTTACAAAATAATATATCTAATGCGTTGGTTTCCCACCGTGCCGAGATTTACTCCACTTTTGCATAAAAATGCTACTCTGATCCAAGGTGAAAATAATTCACCACGGCGTAAATTTCCAGAGAGTGCATTAATCGCAAGGTCATCCACATTTAAGTTGTGCCCTGGCTCTTACATTTCACCTATTTCCAGCAGAACTATTAATATCACAGTGTATAATACCTACTTATATATATATATATATATATATATATATGAAATGGATTGTCCGACAATTACTTAAAATATTTTCTGTTTATACGTTAGTTTTATAGATATTAAACAGACCATTTACTTCAATAGATTATATTTATAAAAATAACGTAAAAACGGAAAATATATTAAATAATTGTCGAACTTAGTCCATTTCAAAATAAGTTGTCATTGTTTACGTTAAGATATGTTTCGTGAGCAGAAATGATCGATCGAGAAAACCACACGTGTTCAATTTGCCTAAGAGTTTGCAAGATATCTTCAAGCCTAGGGTGACACATGCGTGTCCATATAAGTTGAGCACCTCCTTATTTTACTGAGCCCTTATTTGTCATCCACGACGAGTGTGCCACCATATAACGTATAGCATAGTTTGTTCCTTTTAATCTTTATTTAAAAAAAAACAAACTATTATGTAAATGTTTGTAACTTTGTATAATATTTATGCATTACAACCTAATCTTTATCCGGTAAAAATGTCATTGCTAATCATGCATTACTTTTTAAGTAATACACATAT